AGTTAGTGTTAAAATCAGATCCAGATTCAAGGTATTAAATACTTTTATTGTGCTGCCACGTGATGAAGTCTGCTATGTGCAAGCCATGGACGCATGCAATTATAAATGAGGCGTGGCGTTGGCTCCCTAGGGATTTTCTATCAAGTAGAGCCTCTGGCTCCAGAGCGGTTTTCTGATGGCAGTAAGACCAGTAGCTGAACTTGCCCTCCACGGTAGGTTATGAGCAATCATCTGCAGTGGGTTCTTCGACCGCAGTAATGCTGCCTTTGGGGAGCTAAGAACTGGTGTGGCTCTGGGACTCAAAATTGTTTCCAGAAATGTAATTAGAAAGATGTATCTGGGAAGAAAGATGCAAAGAATTCTCAGTCCAGATGTGCATGGGTGGTGGTGGTGGACGGAGGTGTGCCTTTCTCCACAGCATCGCATCATTCCCCTCTACCAACATACGATGTTATCTTATGGAGACTAATGTCTGCACTTTGGACATTCCTTTTTCTTTCTTGTGTTTCTCTTATGGGAGATACAGACTTTTTTGGCAATTCACAGAAGCTTCTCGCAGCTTGAGGTCTATTCCACATTGTCTATCATTGTAGGATGGGGACAAGATTAATATGTGTGTTTCCCACCTGCCAGTATATCATGCTGTCCCCATCACACTAATAAAAATCTTGCCTGTCTGATTCTTGTATCTTATGTGATAGAGACTGGGGGACTGGGGAGAGAAAAAAAGAAAGAGAGTGCAGGAGAGACAGAGAGAGAGAGAGAAAGAGAGAGAGAGAGAGAGCGCGCCCAGGGGGTCAAAAAAGGCAAAAGAAATGAGGTGTAATGGACATTTTAAGAAAGGGGGGGAGGTAAGGGGGAAGAGAGAAGGGATAGACACTATGGATGGGGAGGTGACAATAGAGACTTGGAATTTGGAATTTCTTGGTGGCAATGTTTCACAACAACATCTGTGGAGGGGAACGTAGGATAAAGATTTTGAGAAATGTTGCCTGTGCTTACAAATTAGAGGCTTTTTAATGTTCTTCAAGAGTAGAAAGATTGGAATTCCCCTGTAATTGTTTTTGGCAGTTATAATGTGCTTTTTTAAATGTGAATTCATGCAGAAAGTGGCCACATGGGACCCCAGCCTATATTTGGGTTATAATTGTAAAACAGGCTCTAGAGTTTTCCTTCCATTTGACTGTTTCTCATGGCATCATCACTGGTGAAGTATCATTAATTTATTCATAATAATTAATCAAAATCTCAATTTGTGTAAGCAAAATCTTCCTGATCCCAGACATCTTTCTGCTTGTCCCCTGCCTACCAGCCCCCACTCCACATGGAGGTAATTACTCCCCCTTCCTTCCTCCCACAGCACTTTGTCCTGCTGACAGTGCACCATTGAGTGCACTGTATTTTATCCATTGCACATCTGCCTCCCCAACTCGATTATGATCTGGAGGAAACAGAATGATTATTTTTTTCTTTAAATCCCCAGATCTGACATGTGTTGCAAATGCCTGCTATGCAACCAGATTCATGACAATACAAGTGAGATCAAGGCTGTTACGGTGAATGGTGCCTGAGAGTGGCAGGAAAAGAAAGGGATCACAAAGGAAACCGTGTTAGATTTCTCCTTGAGGTATGAGTAGGAACTGACTGGGTAGAGAGTGTGAGGAAAGGCATCTCATGCAGAGACTGGCATAGGGCAGCGCGGAGGCTGGAGACAGTTTGAGGAGTCGTAGAGCAGCAGGAAATGTGAACTGGCTGGACACAGGTACCCAGAGAGGATAGCAGGAAGTGAGGCTGCTGAGGCGGGCTGTGATCAGACGGGCAGGGCCTTGCTAGAAGTCTGGACCTGATTCTCTAGTCAAGGGGACCCATACTGGGCTTTAGTGGAGAGACCTAGGATCCGATATTTGAGGAACAGGGCTCTGCTGGCAGGGGTCCTCTGCTGCTCTGCAGCCCGCAGCTGGGGCTCCCCAGGTGCCAGCATCTGTACAGACTCAACCCTAGATGCATCATCTTCGTTCCTGGGAGAGCTTCTGCTCTAGAACTCTGGCCATTTTCCTAGGCTCATAATCACGGCTGAAACATCTAAACAGATATGAAAGACCTCTTTCTATCTGACTCACCAAACCAGAATTAGAGCCAACCTACAGTAGTGAGCTCTTGGCTTCCCCCCTTCTTAGCTCCACTCTGACTCTGCTCTTACTATGAAAATGTCACCAGAAATGCCAGAACTGCCCTCCACGCCATCCTAACGGGAGGTTTTGATCGAGGCCTCCTTCTGTGTGCCAGCACATCAAAGCCATGTTCGGAAGAATATTATCTTTTTGAGAAGATTTCATGAGTAATGATTTCACTGAACTTGGCCACAGCAGGTGGGGGCTCTGGCAACAAAATAGGCTGCGTGGGGCCCTTGGGAATGGACAAATGTAGACCCGGAAGCAGGCCTTAGGTTGGATTTCTGGTACTCTGCCTGTACAGCTACTCCAGTTTCACAGAGATAAGGAGGCCCCTGCAGGCTCAGACCTTATGTAGACAGTGGGGGTCCCGAGGCCTTTGTGCTGGACTGCAGCAGAGATGGGGCAGCGCTGCTTTGAGCTGTTAAGTCACAAAGACCCTAGCCCTTTCCCTTCTTCTTTGTACCCGGGGGTCCTCTCCAGCAAAGAGCAGGGAGCAGAGATCCAGCCCCCAGCTTCGACACGCCAAGGTTCGGTTTGGATATTACCATGCCATTTCTCCCTTGGCCTGACTTTTCAGGTTGTTGTTTTCTCTCTCTCTTATACATGCTCTAATCCCAGAATGTAAAGATTGAGGTCCTCTGTGGGTTGAGAGAAAGAGCATTCCAGAGGCCTAGAGGGGGTGTTCCAGCAGGTCAAGCATTCCCTGAATGCATCTACGCCAGGGCACTGCTTCTGTAGCTTCCAGACCAGTAGAGGTTATTTTGACTCCTGCTATGTCCCCAGTCCTTGCCACTCTTTCGGATACATGGTAAGAACTCAATTTATATGATGATTGACAAATGAAATAGATGATGTAAGGGGAAGTGGCAAATTTTTGATTCAGTGAGTTTAATGTCAGTCTGGGAAAGCAACAAATCCAGACCTGTCTAATCCATGCCAGGAACTCAGAAATTTGGGACAGATTGTAAAATAGAAATGTTTTACCCTGCCTGTATGTTTCCTCTGTATGTAGCATGGCCAAGTACAAACCCAAGGAAGCCATCCAATCCTTGATGTGTAGAGGCCAACAGCCCTTCTTCCCAATGCTAGCGGTAGAATACATAAGACTGGAACCTGGGAACGAGAGCGTGAGGACAGGGACCCACGAGTAGGTCGGTAAAGTGGAGCCACCCCACTGAACAC